GACAAAAAGGGATTCACAGTCGTCTACAAGAAAGCAAAAGCGGTCAACAAGCCGGCCAAATCTAATGTAAAGAGCACAATGAAGGCGGGAGCTCGTCGTTCTCTCCATAAGTTGAAAACTTTGCTTAGAAAAAACAAGTATCGCGTGGATCTTACCAAGGTAATCATATAATTGTCGCTGATTATAGTAGTTTATAAATTTTTTCATTATTTTGCACTTTAAGTAAAAAACTTTGAAAAAAACTTCAAAGATCTTGTCACAGACTGAATAGAAAACCTAACATGTGGTTTGAAACATGTGGTTACAAACAGAATTTTTATAATTTTTGAATTAATATTAAAAATTAATATTAATATTAGAACTTCCAATAATTGACAAATTCAGAAGAATTCTATGGATTACTATTTTCACTATGGATCTCAATATAAGTACTCATATGTGCATGTGCGCTCGCAAGTCTTTCATAATTAACAGTTGATTCTCGAAGGCACATATATACCTTGATACCGTTAAGATTAAAGTTAAATAAAAGATTAATATTGTTTTAAAGAAATTTAAAATATTTTTTTATCTTTTCTTATTGATTCTTAGTATAATTTTGGTTTTAATTACGTGCTATTTGCCATTAATACCGTACTAATGCTAGAACGTAATGTGTTTTGTAGGTAGCATTGCGACGAGCCAGTGCCGTGCTACGGTCTCAGAAACCTCTTCCCACTAAGAAGACACGAACCACTAAAAAGGCCGATTAATTTGTATACTTTACTAAATATACATTGTAAATTAGAATACTTGTCACGGACGATGTATTCTGTGAAGTAAATGTGCTCTAGCTTTTTGAAATTCTTTGTTTTAATGTATTATATTATTCGCTTTTGATTAAAAAAAAATTTTGCTGTGCACTCTTACTTCGCAGGTATGTCATATTTTATTCAACAAAATACACATTTTAGTTAAATAAAAATACGTATCTTTTTAGGTAAGCGTTTACATTTTGTATCGTGTAAATTAACGTTTCTTTTATTTTGCAATATCTGTTTTACGTTATATAATTTTTTTTTTTTAGATTTAAAGAAAAATCAACCAGCATACTCCTTTGACGATTTGTAATTTATCTGCAGAAACCAGGTTTTTAGGTAAATTTTATTTATTGTTGTGATAGTTAAACTAATTTATTATATATTATTATATGATTTATTACGTAAATGTCGAAAGTGATGACGTAATCATCGAGATTTATAAATGTTATAATTTACCTAATGTTTGCTAATTAATCATTATTTAGTCTGAAATTCAAATAGAAAAGTAACAGTAAACAAATAATTGTCTTATTATTTAGTTTGCTTGCAAATCTTAAGCAAAACAGCATCTTGAGATAGTATGAATGCATTTATGTTTTTATTCTTTGCATTAAATTTACTTTTAAATAAAATGATGTTACTATAATCACCAAGATCTATGAGTGCTATGATTTGTATAGTATTTGCTAACTGATTATTATTTACAACCTAAAATTCAAGTAAATAAAAATAGTAATTGTAACTAATACAATTATTTTATTATTTAGGTTGCGTGAATCTTGAATGAAAGGACATCTTGAGATTGTTTACAAAAGGTACTTATATTCTGCTATACTGCCTTATGTTTCGAGTTATTTTTTAAATTAAATGATGTTGCCGTAATCACCAAGATCTATGAATGCTATGATATTTGAATTTGCTACTTCTGACTTCATAAATCTCAACAAGATATATTAATAATATTGCTCAATAATAAACAGTGAATTTTTTGTTTATTTTTCAGGCTTGCTAAATTCCTGGGAATCAGTCAAAGGACAAAAACTACAGGTAATTTTTACTTGTGGACCACATGAATTTTTTAAAATAAATTTATGAGCGGATGTAAAAATATATTAGTATATAAAAATGATGATTACCCCACCAAGATCTATGAATGCCATGATTTGTATAGTATTTGCTAACTGATTATCGTTTCCATTAATTTAAAATTATAAAAGAAAGCAACATTTCACTAATACAATTATTTTATTATTTAGGTTGCTTGTGAATCTCAAGTCCAAGGCATCTTCAGATAATATAAAGGTATTTATATTTTCCTTTATTATATTTTGAGTTATTTTTTTAAATAAAATGATGTAATTACCAAGATCTATGAATGCTATGATATTTGAATTTGCTACTTCTGATTTCACATAAATCTCAATAATATATATTAATAATATTGCTCAATAATAAACACAGAATTTTCTTTTTATTCCTCAGGTTTGCGAAATCCCTGGAAATCGTAATTGAAGGACAGAAACTACAGGTAATTTTTATTTATCTTATGGACATGATTTTTTAAAATTATGTAAAAATATATTAGTATAAAAAAATGATGATAATTATCCACCAAGATCTATGAATGCCATGATTTGTATGGTATTTGCTAACTGATTATCGTTTTTATTAATCTAAAATTTTAAAAGAAAGTAACATTTAATTAATACAATTATTTTATTATTTAGGTTGCTTGTAAATTTCAAGTCCAAGGCATCTTCAGATATTGTAAAGGTATTTATATTTTCCTTTTTATTAGTTGCTTTCCATTTACATCAAAACTCAGATAATTCTCACTTGTGATGTCATTCTGTCTTTATTATTCATTAATTGCGAAAAAGGATAGAACGACGTCACAAGTGAAAATTTATCTGAGTTTTGATGTAAATGAAAAGCACCTATTATCTTATGTTTTGAGTTATTTTTAAAATAAAATGATGTTGTTGTAATCACCAAGATCTATGAATGCTATGATATTTGAATTTGCTACTTCTGACTTCATAAATCTCAATAATAATATGTAGTAATAATATTGCTCAATAATAAACACAGAATTTTCTTTTTATTTCTCAGGCTTGCTAAATACCTGGACATCGTAGTCAAAAGACGGAAACTACAGGTAATTTTCATTTATCATATGGACAACATAATTTTTTTGAATTATGTTAAAATATGTTAGTATATCAAAATGATGATAATTATCCACCAAGATCTATGAGTGCCATGATTTGTATGGTATTTGCTAACTGATATTATCGTTTTCATTAATCTAAAATTTTAAAAGAAAGCAACATTTAATTAATACAATTATTTTATTATTTAGGTCGTTTTTAAATCTCAAGTTCAAGGCATCTCGAGGCAGATTGGATATGAAGGTATTTATATTATTCTATATTATCGTATGTATTGAATTATCTTTTAAGCTGAATGATGTTATCATAATCGCCGAGATTTATGAAAGATTTTTGAAAAATTTTATATATTATAGCTTAGCCAGAAAACGAAATTTATACGTCACAAATATTAAAAACTATTTAATTATTAGTAGAGTATCTTTGAATTGGAAAAGATTTATTTTTTAATTTTTATTTAGGTAAGTTATTTAATCGACAGAAAGGAAGAATAAATAAATTGTTTAAAATGATAAATTTCCATGGCTTCTGTCATGCAATTCGTACAAAATTCTTGGAATTTCTAAATATGTCTTGTGAATATGATTTAAATCATGTGAAACACAGCGTATTTCGTTGATTTATTTCAATAACGGAGGTAAAGATGGAAGTAAAGTTGCGACGTGTGTGTTCCATTTTATAACAGATTTTACATATTTATTTTCACCGATTATTATACCGTGGCGAGGTCATTTGATTTTTACTTTGAAGATGGAAATTCATATATTATGTCAAATGTGTTATTAGTAGTTCGCGAAGTTCTTGACCGTATAACAATAGTATTTGCTGTCAAAGAATAAATTTATTTCAATTTTATAATTTTACGATAATTACACTATATATTCTTTTATTTCAGAGGGCAATATCTTTGTTTCATATTTCTTATCTTTATGGATAATTTCTAGCCCACAAGCAATTTTTTAGTGTCCTTTACTCTATTTATGAAATTATATTAATTGCGAGATTAAGTTATAAATATTAATAACGTAATATTAAATATAAATAAATTAAATAATGCATAATTAGTAGAGTTTTCAAATAAAATTTCTAATAAGAATATCACATTTGCCGGCAATTTCAGCTACTCCGCTTTGTAGAGAAAGTTGCGGTTGCGAATTGAAAGTTTTCGTTTTCTCATTACTAGATCATTTTTCTTCTATTGTTTCTTATACAGGTATATTTTGATCGATTTTTTTTTAATTGTAAGTTTAAACTTTGAATTTTAATTATGGTTTGAAAAAAGTCAATATTTTATGCAACTTAAATTTGCTATTGATAATTTTATAAATAATAGTTTTGATAATATACCTAATTAATAAAACCAAACGATCAAAGCATAATCCTTTCATTTCTGAAGAACTTAAAAATTCATACTATCCCGCCGTTACTTCCGCACGTTGGCTTCAGAAATATAAATTTTTTTCCACTTTTTAAAAATAATTTTCATTAGATTTTTATTTACCTCAACCGAGTTGAGGTATTAGTCTCTAATTTTTTAATCACATATTTCTTCCATTTTGCAGCGATTCTACATGCTTGTGACGTCCATTTTATCTACCCTCGTCCAAGGATTGCAAGAGGAAGAAGTAGGACATCGCGGTGTTCACGATCTGACAATGAAGATAACAAATTAGTCATCTTTAGTATAAAAAAAACTATTAAATAAATAAATTCTATTTAAAGAGTCATTTTAATGATTAAAAAATTAGCTCTCTCTCGGAACATTCAGAATTAGCTTAAAAATTTAGAACTCCTCGCTGTTTCCTTTTCTTTCTACCTGGTCTCTTTCCAATTCACGTTGACACATATATTTTCATACGAACAAAAGTCGCTGAAGTCGATCGCACGATAAAAAGCCGAAAATAAGATTCGCACAGAGTGATAAGCTTCAGCTATAAGCTTCGCACGACGAGCCGTTATTTCAAGTACTCACGTTGGTGAACATCCTGACGTCCACGGAAGACAATTTTAACGCCCTTATGATCATCGGCTTCTGCATCATCGTCACGATAACGTTCACCCTAACGTCGCGATCGAGACTGGAATCCGGCCACTCGCTGAAATATATCCCCTCACGAAAGTGCTCGCTCTAGACGCACACGTATGCAACACGCAAATTAATTAATTATGGTTCTCACGATAAGAGTATAATCGTCCGTCTGAGGAAGCTCGATCGAAACTCACCGCGCTCGTAATGAGACTACCGTACCAAGCGTAGATGAACGTTTGCAGCAGTTTCAACGCCATGAAAGAGACGAACAGGAAGAACTGGCCGATCGTCAGATGAGTGAGCTGTTATCATAGCATTTTGTTAGAATAACGATGATACTTTCGTAACAACGTACCTATTAATCCTTAAATGCGCAATTCTCCGTAGCGTTCTGAGTATTTTTAAATAAATAATGACTCGCTAACGAATCCTAAAAGAGTATATTTTGAAAATTATACGCACCGGACTCGCCTCGAAGATCAACGCGCACATGAGTATGGCGTTTGCGAAGAGCATCCGTATGATTATCAAGCCCCAGATATCGCTCATTATATGACCGCATCGCAGCAATCGGCGATGCGTGTCCACGCACGTGTCCAGGAGCTCCGTGAACGTTTCCCGGTTCTGGCGCGGATTTGCCAGCCTGGCAGACATCGCCCGCAGTATCGAGGAGATCTGAAACGCGTAGTAGCCGAAGAGGCTGTCGACGCTGCCGATGGTGAACATCACCCACCAGCAGGCGGATATCTGGTGCAGGAGATGCAGGTAATAGGGGAGCCCGTTTGTCGGCGCGGGCCACGGGAATTTTGCCGCGACCGGCAGCCTGTATCTTCGGGGTTTCGCGTGACGAACGATCTGGCGGGCGATGGAGATCAGCGCCGGGCAGATGCTCAGCAGGACCGTCGATCCCAGGACGAAGCACAGGATGTAGGACGGTCGGTCGAACGCGTACAGTGTGGCGAGCACGGTTTCTCGTCTTCGGGCGAGTTCTCGCTCGAAGAGGTCGTTCAGCGTCTCGTGAAGCTCCATCAGCCTCTCGCGTTTCACCAGGAAGCATGCCGCCTGGAAGAAAATAGCAAGACACGTTTTGTTTTCTCGAGAGCTTAGGAGATCAGTCATTTACTTCTTTAAATACCGATTGATATATGTCTAAAGAATATTTAAGGGAATAAAATGACTGATCTTTTAAATAGCATTGAAGTTAAACAGCGATCTCCTTCGAACGGTTTCCGCCGAGATTCTTGAATAAAGATTTCCGCAAATTGTTCTAATCTTTCGACTCGAGACAGAGGCTTGTCAGAAGAAAGACAGAATAGGTGAGAATAGTACTTTAAGAATTGTCTACGTTAATTTGACCGATTAGAATAATGTACAATAAGAACTTGCAAATAGGGTTGCGCAATTGAGCACGAGATATACCATTAAGACGGGCGCGATGAAGCTGCAGGTCATGCTGAAGGCCTTTGAGAGGAGCACCAGGTCGTCGGTGTGATCTCGACAGAAGTTTATCATGAAGACGCATTGAACGAAGCACATGAGGATCACCGAGAGGCCTGTAATGTACGACCAGGTCACCGAACGTGTTCGATCTTGCAGGACACCGCCGAGGTAGAGCATTTTGCGAATGCGACGGCTGTACACGCGATAGCGCAGCACTGCCGCGTTGATTTGTGCTCGTTCCCGAGGGTCTTTAGCTAGGATGCTCATGGATGTAATGTAAAAATAACGGGGAGAGTTTTGGCCGAGCGACAACGTGCAATTCCGTTGAAAATTGCTGGCAAAGTGGACGACGAAGCGCGCGGCGTTCACCGAGAGTTCACCGAGAGAGTTTAACGTCCGCGTGTAATGACACGGGGGACTCGATTCAACCCTCTCGGAACTCGGAAAGCTCGTTATTTACCGAATCAAGAATCTCGGAGGGGTGGAATGATTGCACGTTGCGTTGCTACTTTGTTACTCGCGTAATCGGGGGATGAATCGATAATGCATAAGCTCATTTCCGAAAAACACTATCCGTGTATTACCCTCTATTAAATGATAAGCGAGTTCCGCGAGTAGTTGTGAAAGATTGATCAGAGGCCGATTTATCAGAAGCACCGCTCTCGAGCATATTATAGTTAAGTATATGTCGGTGCGAGCAACCCTCCTCGACGCAAAACGAGCGAATAGAAAAATGCTTAGAAGGGATTTATAGGGTTCTGTACGTCGAAGGAAAGAAAAGTTGCATCGTCGATATGTACTCGATATTGAAAAGCGAAAACTTACATATCCGCAATGATTTCGATATTTATGTTAAGAAAAAAATTAAAATCTTTATGAATTTGTGAGTGATAGTGTATCTTTGTCTGTGGATGTTTTTGTACATAAAAAGTTAGAACAAATAAATTCTTAAACATCTATTAATAAAATTATTTAATTAAAATTAATAATAATAATTAATAATATTTTAAAATTACTAAATTTTTGTAATTTATGGAATTATAAATCATAGGACAAAAGTACATTGAATTAAAACTATAAAATACAAAACTTGTACAAAAGTTAATAATAATATATAATACATTAACAGCACGTTGCAATGAAGAAAATTGTTGCTATAATATATTTGTAATAAAATATTTGTATAAATAAAAGTAATATATTTTGTACAAAGTAGACCTTGTTTTAATAAATAGATTTTACTACTTTTTATACGTAAAAATTTCAATCTGATCGAGATTGGTTAATACTCCTTTTACTGTGAGAATAATCGGTACATTTTTTTATCTGAAAGATGTTTTTATGATAAGATAATTTTTGATACTATTGATATATTATTAAATATCTTTGCAATACACTTTTTAATTTAAAATTTTTTTGGTTAAAATTTGAATGAGCGGCGATATATCGAGAGAGATTTGAAACAGCCAATCAAATAACGGGACGCTGCAAGTGCATCGTGCATCCGGCATCGTCCAGAAACGCGGCCGACTTCAGTTTGTTGCCGCAAGTGCCGCAACAACGCCGATCGGAGGAACGGGAAGGTTCGGACCGCGTAAAGTGTTTTCGCCTGTGAGAGAAGCTAGTTTTTTTCGAAACGACCTCTTGTTCCAGGGCGGCGGTGAGGTTCGATAAGCGAGCGATAAGAAAAAGAGAGAGAGAGATGAGCTTCAGCCTGCCGCATTGAAGTCCGCGGAAGCGCAACGTAACCTCTATAACCTCATTCGCGTGCGAGTCGTGGTGTTCCTCGGCCGGCGGAATGGCGGTCGGCTCGACGAAGGTGGTCCAGGTGACGAACATCGCGCCCCAAGCCACCAAGGACCAAATGCAGACGCTCTTCGGGTATCTGGGCAAAATCGAGGACATTAGGTTGTACCCTACCATCCGGGATGTCGCCGTGCCCGTGCAGTCGCGCATATGCTATATCAAGTTTCACGACCAGGGCTGCGTCTCCGTGGCCCAGCACATGACCAACACCGTTTTCATCGACCGGGCCCTGATAGTGATCCCCTACCAGAACGGAGACATTCCGGACGAGCAGCGTGCCCTGGAGCTGACCAACAATGGCACAGTTGTGCCAGGTAAGAATGCAGTTTACCGGACCACACGCCACTGTTAATCTTCAGCAATTTCACTGTTATAAAACTCACAATTTATTTTAACTCAATGACTAGATAACACACACACACAATGGGTCGAATTTAGTTGTTTTAATAATTTATAATTTTATGAAATGAAAACCATGTTTCTTGCCCTGGTTTTAGCCTTTCGTGTGTCTTAGCCTCATGTTCGTGCAATGTATCTGTTGTTATGTTTCAATTTTCATTTAATTTAAAATGTGTTACTTATTATTCTTGTTGTATTCATGGAAAATATTACGGTAGACCAATTCATCATGATTAATAGTTAAACTTATTTTTGTATATTTCAATTTAGTACTGAGGAAGGCTTAGGAAAGTCGAAACATTTACTTTATATCCATTCTATTTATGAATTAAACTTTGTAGTAATATAATATTTTGTCTTTAGTATTGTTGGTCCATTATTCTCTCATATTGCTTTATATAAAACGAGCCTAATCTTTTAATAATTCATTATCCTACTCAAATTACAGACAAATATTGAGAATCAATATATCATTAATGTCCAACATGTTACGCCATTTTGTTTATGCTATTACGCTGAGATATATATTGATCTCTAAATAGAAAACATGCTTGTTCCTATATAAAACGTTTTATCTATTTTTAGCATAGATCTGATCTGTCTTCAAATTCTTTCAGGCCTCTATCCGTCAGAACCAAAGCTGCCCCCGAACGTAGTGAATGCTATCGAGGGTATTCCTCCAAATCACGTCATCACCACGATGGATCCCAAGCTAGAGGCAAATGGGTTACCAGCCTATCCGCACCTGCCGGGTCATCTGGATAGCAGACGTATCGAAGAGATTCGTCGGACACTTGTGGTGGCGAATTTGGATTCGTCGGTGAGCCCTGAACAACTGCTGGACTTCTTCAGCAATAACAACGTGGAGATCAAGTACCTGCGTATGTGCAGCAGGGACTCGGACGCCGAGCATTATGCGCTGGTGGAACTGTCGGAACAGGCCGCCGTGGTCGCGGCATTGCTGCTGAATGGAAAACAGTTGGCGGAACGTCCGATGAAGCTGTACCACTCGACGCAGGCGATTGCGAAGCCGGAGGCGAAGAGCAACGAGGCTGCGCAGAAGGAGATTGAGGAGGCAATGTCGCGGGTGAAAGAGGCGCACAACCTCATCTCCGCGGCAATCGACCCGATGATCGGCATGCTTTCCAAGGATAAGCGGAGCAGAAGCGGCTCGCGCAGCCGTAAGTCCAGGTCGCGATCCCGCGGACGCAGTCGACGCTCGAGATCACGTAAACGCTCGCGTTCGCGCCACCGACGCTCGCGCTCCCGCCATCGGCGTCGATCGCGCTCACGCTCCAAACGGTCTCGATCGAAGGAGCGCAGGTCGCGCAACTCGCCATCGAGACGACGCAGCAGCTCGCGCAGTCGCCACCGTTCCCGTAGCAGATCGAGAAGGTCGAGGTATAGCTGAACGATCTTCTATCTTTGCCAGCCCTCATGTTATACTCTTATATATTGCAAAACCTTATGCTCAGCTTACAAATTCTAAAAAAAGTGAAATATAGCATAGAAAAATGTTTCAGTATTGAAAAAAATATATATTTAAGATGCGATTGAAGACCATATGCAAAGAGATCATTATATTTTTATACGCATTAATCTTTTTTCATCTCATCGAAGGTCGCGTCGATCACCATCCAGATCAAAGGAACGAAAGAAGAGATCACCGCGCCGTCGCAGTCGTTCACGTTCACGAAGCAAGGGCTCTACATCCAGGTCCAGACGTTCGCGTTCCAAATCCAAGTCCAGATCGTCCAAGTCCAAGTACGCCTCGGACAAGTCCAAGGATAAAGATCGGGATAGGCGCAGCAAGGACAAGTCGGACAACGGTAAGAGGAGCGACAGCGATCGGGAGAGGCCCGAAAAGGAGAGTAGCAGAAGCGAGAAGAAATCCAGCAAGGAAAAACGGTCCAGCGACAAGTCGGAGTCCAAGTCGGACGACAAAGGTAGATCCGCATCGGAGAACGACAGCAAGGAGAAAACAGAGTCGGAAAGCTAGACGAAGACTCCGCTCACAACCGACACAGTTTTTCAAGCATCTCGTTGAATTCGATAAGCTATCTGTCTTTATCGCTATGTATTGGTATAGTAAAAAATACACGGATACATGGCATTTACATCAAGATTCTTTCGGAGTGGCGATCCATGCGCGTTGATCGAAATTTACCGTAGACTGGCGTGTTTAGGAATTGACCTTCTTTTTCTTCTTTCTTGGAATCGGCGGTGGCTTGACATTTTTCTCTTCATCTTCCGCTTTCTCGTTGCGCACTTCCATTTTAGCCGCGTTCTTAGACGACCTAGGAAAACAATCCATCGTGATCTCTCAATTGGACAAGCTTGGTCAAAAGCATCTTTAACCATTAGTTATATTAAGCTAAACGGTTTGCGAGATAAAAGTAGTACCAATGTTTTAAGTATTAATAATTGTGTTTCAATAACTATTGTAACCGATTATAGGAGTTCAGTGTGCCTGTTAGTTTAAATAATTAATTGATCTGATTTATTACAATACATTAAAAAGTATTGTAGTACTTTTGCCCAGGATTGTATAAAAATCGATAAACAATAAAAATACGGGTATAACACATACGACCTATAAATCACGAGCAAAATGTATTCCCTTGAAGAATGTAATCTGAATTATTGCTAGGTTTTTGTTTAGTAAGCGAGCGTACCCTGCGATATCCTGGTTTTCGTAAACCACCACGTCGTCGTAGATTTCCATCTTCATGGGAATTGGCGCGCGGAAAAGCGATTTCTTTTGCACGTTTTTTATGGTCGATCGTCTCTTTAGCACTACCTGCAACCGTTATATTTTTTAATTAAGTTGTCAATCTCTTTATCATGGAAACATTTTTTTTATGATCTTCCTCACCATTCCCGTGTTTTTGTTTTGTGAAGAAAGCGAAGTCATTTCCATCGAGTCATTCATGTGTACCTTACTACGCAGCATATCGTCCACTTGACAGCTTCCTGTCGATTAAGACAAACGTTTACTTTTTTAAAGGACCTAGAAGTAAAACGCTTCTGTGACATTTTGGTAGGAACTATTAGAAGGTACAATTGCTTACGCATTATACATTCGTCGTACTGGCCGAGAGGGTCTATTTGCAAAAGCGTAGATAATGTATTAGGATGACGCAAGTCCATGAATATCATTATAATCGCCAGAAGAACGCAAAACAGACCTGGAAAGAAATACATTGACGATAACGCGGATGTCAAATATGTCGTAGAAATAATGTTATCAATGTGCTAAATTGAACTTTGTTTGGAAAAAAATAAAGTGAGTAAATACAGTCTTATTTCTGTTCAAATTAATAATTAATTTTATTAAAATCAATAATTTACAAATAGGAAAAAGACAGTAATTAAGAATATTAAATGAAAGAATAAGAGGATCCAAGAGTTCGAGAATATCAAAAGTATAATGGATAAATTAAAAAATCAGCGTCCGAAGGGCTCAATATTTGCCAAACTGAAGCTGTCAAATGAGATCTACACGTGAATCCGGTCGATTTAAGTGACAATTAATCACCACATCCGCAAGTCATCCAGAAATGCAGGCCCAATGTCATCCTAATGACGCCATCCTCGAAGGGAATCACAAGCGGAGTTGGATTGTGCACGCAGACCCACACGAGACAAGTTAACAATTGTAAGCCGCCGATCAAACCGATTAGATAAGCAGCGTACCGGCTCACTGACTGCAGGAATATGTTAGCCAGTATCCAGCAGGCGAAGGCAGTCCTGCGAACAGTTCAGAATTTTCACGGTAGACCATGTTCATTGTTGAAAACAATAGCTTTTTTCTATTTACAGAATAAAGATTTATAGTCGAGAAGTCGATCTTCAAAAAATAGATACAACATATTTTTATATAACATGAAATTTAAATTTTTTCTTTCTACTTTTATTTTTGCTTATATCTTCTGTACTGACCACAACAAGATGTGACAATACCACCCGGCGGTTCGATAAAATCTCCCAAATCGAATGCCCTCCCCATCGATAACGAAATACTCGACGATCCATAAAATTGGAATGGGCAAACCCTTTCGTTGGCCTTCACGGAAGGTCCTCTGCAGCAGTCCAGCTACAGGAAGTTCATTAATATTATTTAAATGGTCTGACAAAGCGTGATGAAGTGATGATTCACAGCAAATATTACCGTAGGGCCCAAAACCGATTATGCCTTGATCCCACGTCCAGGGAAACCTTTCGTTGTAATTGATCGTTTCTTTTGCGAGCGGCGTGCCTTCTTCCGGTTTGGCTGAGAAAGAAATTCTTTAATTAGCATAATTCCAAATTGCATTCGCAAGGTATGCATCACACTTCGGCAAATCAGCGAGTTAAAAAGAGGATTAAACTTATTTTGGATAAAATCGTATTTCTCCTTGAAAATCATCCAATGAATTTTTGTAGGTATATATATGTGCAAATGTATCTCTATTTTCGACTCATTCTTTTAAATTACCTTTCAGTGTGACGTTGACCGATCTGAGCCCAATTTTGACTGCCATATGAGCATCGATTTCGTGACCTATGCCGGCCCGATAGGGCGTTTTGCTTCTCGTGCTGCCGTATTCCCATTCTTGACCGAAATTTTCTACTGCAAATTCATAACGTTCGACATACAGGTGAATTCAATATATCTGATAATATAGAACAGATACCGAAAAAAAATTCTGTTTTAAAATATTTATACCTATTAACAAGCACCCAATGGTAATGCTGAAGCCGATCTTTATAGTCATGTAGATGCTCTGTACGATACAAAAATCATTTCATTAGTATGAGAAGTTTAAGGAGTTTAGTGTACAAGTGAAGTAAGTTGAGATCAGAGAATGCAATCAATACAAGTTTCAAGTTAAAATTAAAATTAATTGTAATGATTTTTTAAGTAATTTATATTTACATATACATAATTTTTCTATATTCTATGTTCTAAAATTTTATTTTATGAGATTATTCTAAAGTAAAAATATAAGTAAAATATAGTTTGTGCGTGGTATAATTTTTTGATATGATATACGTCTACGGTGTCTATGAACTTAGACAAGTATATTAAAGAGTGTTTAAAGAAATTGTTTTTATTATTTCAGACAACTCCAATAACGCACAACGTGAGAAAGGACAGGTTTTAAAAACATCTGAAAGATATTCTAGGTTCATAAGATATGTTCCTCAGAACGTACGTGGTGTTAAGTCTAAATAAAAAGTCTAATAGTCTAAAGCTGAAGCTCTGTACTTACTTGCCTCTTCCGATAGCCCGGTATGATGCTAATGTAGGAAATCGCGATGATCACGAAAACCATGATCAATATGGTCTCGGTCACGTCCACCGTCGCCGGAGTATGATACTCGGGGTATTGCGAGGGAAAACCCTCCGATCGTCCGAACTGAAACCACATGAATGCACCTATTCTTTCTCAACGGCGTAAATAATTTAAAATAATTTATTATTTTAGGTCCAGAGAAGGTCGCGGTAGAGGAGCGTTTAACACGTTTAAAACTACGGACTAGTATATATAACTTATTTGGGAAACCCGACGATGTTGCGGTTTTATCTGAGTTCCTTTTCCGGCTATCCTCATGCTCGAAACTGGATGATTAAAGCGTCAGCTTTATCGTATAGCTAAACTTCCGTATAGTTGCATGGATCTATATATATATATGATCGCATAATTATATATATATCAATATCAAATAAAATAATTTTTTGTCACAGATCTCTCGAGACTTTTCAGAAATTCTCGAGAGATTTACGAATTTTACTTTAATTGTAAGTATTTATTATTATTATATACTTTCGACAATCTCGTTGTTTAATTATCATAATAATTGACGTTTGTAATGTTGAAAAAATAAGCAATTGAATAGGTAATTCGGATATATAATTAGATCATTCTTAGTAATAATTGCTATAAATAAAATAATGATTCTATTAATATATATAACATTCAATAATTATTCTTATATTAATATTAATTGTCAAAATACTGAAGAAAATTGTTCACACTTGCGATTCTTCATATTCTCGTTCGTAATAATTGTATTCGTGCTTATTTGGCGTTCATAATTGTTTCATAATTTCAACATGCTCCATATATTGTATTTAAATATTCACACGTTTATATCTTGGCATAGTTTCTAGCTTTCATAATTAATTTCAATAACGAACTAAATAAAGCTAGGAGCAGGTAGGCTAGAACGAAGAAAACGAACTTAAAACATTAAAAACAATTTATATCAATTCATCAATTTGTTGCAAAGAGCAATATAACAGCAAAATTCTACAGTTGTAAAAGCTTTATTGTAAAAGAGTGGTGGATAAAAATGATTTATGACAAAATTTATAAAAGAATGATAATTTTAAAATTTCTCGTGCGCTACCGCTCGATAACTCGATCTCGATGGTCGATCTAGCGCGCGTCGAAAGCGTGATAATCAACTCTCACGTGTACGCGACACGGCGCGACGTCAGGTTAGCTTAGCCACTTGTCATTAGGCACCTCTCTCGTCGTCGGTTCTAATAACATTTACATGTTATCATTTTCATGTCGAGCTAAAGCAACCCTTTCGACAGGAAGTGCGAGCAAAATGTCGGTGAGTCCCTGTATCGTTATGTTTTTCTTACAATGAACGTTTATTCTTAATTAATCGACATTTCCATAAGGAACGCTCCAAATTGTTATTCAAGCCACTCAACTATGAATAAGCAGGAATTGATTTAAAAATAATAAACAAAATCAGCAACCGCCTGTAGACCAGTAAAATATACAGTGTTGTGTCTGAGTATCTGACTTGTATCTGGTATGTTGTGCAGACGAAGAAGGGTAAGGTGATGACCAAGGGAGCGAAGCAGATAAAGGAGGAGAATGTCTCCACGCTGAGCTTCTACGTCTACATGGCCCTAGGAGCAATGGGAATTCACTTTGCCGTGACAATGCTTCTGTTCGAGTTCACCGTGCTGACGATAGTAAGTCTCATGTCCAATGGACAGGGCACCGCAGCCACGCAATCCCTTAACGATGTGCGTTATCGTTACAGAGTCTAACGGTATTCTCCGCAATTGTGTATATAGGCAGCTATCAATTTATGTCGTACATGGCTCGCGCCACGTACTCGGAATCCGGTCAGCTCCTGGACTCCGGGGTCGATCTCAACATGGAAGGCGGCATAGCGGAGTGAGCGTTGGTTGCAATAGATAATCCTTTTATTGCTGTTGTCGTCTTCCGTTGTTCATTGATCGAAGTATCATCGTTCTGTTCACAGACACGTCAAAGATTTAATTATACTGACGTCCGGAGTACAAATCCTGTCCCTCATTTCGAACTATTTCTGGTTATTGTGGCTTTTGGTAAGCATCTTGGCAATTCTCTCTTACATATTCTCTTTATTTAACGTTACAAAAAGACTGCGTATACATGGAATGTTTGTCATGTTTGGGTATTTTGGAAATCCCTACAGGTACCATTGAGAGGGTGCTGGATGCTCTGGAAGCAGATTTTGGCTCCTTGGTTCTTCGCTCAGCCACAGGAACAAGCTGAGATGACCGAAAAGAAGATGCGCAAGTTAGAGAGGAAAATGGCGAAGCGACACCAATGAAAATTCGTCGTTGCTGTGCAATAAGAAAATTCCATTGAATGACAATTATTGATTTAACCAGGGGACGGGTAGTAAATTCAAGAAACACCGGGAAGAGAAAGAACGTTAAGATTTTTTTCTCAATATCCAGCACACATCGAGATTGTGCGGTGGGTTCGGCATGTACGTAGGATAAGTATTAAGTGGAACGAGACTGCTCTCCAAAAGTTTTATGAAAATGTACAAAACGGAAAAACAATTTCATAGGACTAGGGAAAAAATTGCAAATTGGGAGAAAGATTTCGTCTTTGTCTCTTTGCATTTCCGAACAATCTCAGCAGACTGCAATGTTCTTTACACGTCTAGAAAAATCGAGACGCTTTTCTTATTCAGTAATATTTGTGGATTTATTCCTATATAAGTCGAAGGGGCAACGCTAAATTATTATTAGGAAGTTAAATGTAATTATGTGTATTCATTTAAGATCACATGAATTTATTAATAATTATTATTAACTTTATCGACTTATATAGGAATAAAACTGTTCCTACGTATCTCGACATTCGTTTTTTATCTATCTTTGTTAATGTAAATGATTTTTGTTATGCTAATGTAAATGACCTTTTTTACAATTATAACGATAATACTATAACACGCTCAGTTTTTTAAATCTTCCACTTCCGCATAAGAATTTAATAAAAGAATCAAGTAAAAGATAAAGACCTAGTTTACATCGATCACTTGATACGCGTATTAAATAGTAAATAACTAGTAAATAAGTCTGATTATTGGCTGATCAGTTCAAATATACTATTTGATACGCGTGTCAAGAGATCGATGTAAACTAGGCCAAAGTGAACAGGTGCCTTCGTGGAAACGATGATAACGAATAACGTCAAAATACGCATTCAGGTGATGGATAAAAATCGAATAATGTAATGAATGTAATACTTATGTATATTGTATGTTTAAAAATTCAGTCGTTCTCCTTCCAGTGCAAATGGATTCAAACCAGATTACGATTAATCGGTATTATATATCGATTATATTATTCAACGATATAAATAAATCATTTGCTATTTATTAAATTGTGGAAGTTGATGTATCGACGCGCATCACAGTTGCATTTAAATCTATCGTATCTTACAGTTACATCTTTGTTTGGGAATGAAAACTTACGTTTAGCGATTGGCTTTGTTTGAACAGTTACATACTTATTTATATTAATCGTTGGGCTCTATTCTATACATTGGTCGCGGAATGTCTCTGTATAATGCGCGATGAATTTCAACCCTCTTTAAAATTAGGCCAACGTTTGTACTTTAACGTCTAACGTCAAACACGTTCGTTTAATTCACAGCTTTTGTTTTGGCTTTTACGTATGCACACATGACTGTCCAGTGAAATTCGCAATTCGTTTATAATATTTATATTAATAACGTTATTTATATTGCAATAGTTACATTACCTAAACGAGCAGATAAATTATTCCGAAAGGAATTTTTCGTGAAGAGACCGTGCAAATAAAAGGAAGGAGCAGAAGGTTGTTTTGAAATTGGAAGACTGTATAATTAAATAAGAAAAAGAAAATTGGAAAGCTATTATATTTAAAATAGTTTTCCAATAATAAAATAGAGAATCAAAGTGTCAGAAAAGGAAAACTGATTTATCTCTATGTATATCGCGAGAATAAATAAGATTTTTTAAACTCTAACATCGTAAATGCAGGACTAAATCAAGAGTTTTAACTGGAATGTCCCAAGATCTCAGAAAATGCTTAATCATAACTACATTACGTACAAAATTACTGTGAATTTAGTTGCATGAAAGCATAGTAAGGTACATGAAGAATAGATTCTTCATGGTAAGGTATAATTAAATCTTAAAGAATCATTATTCTCGTGTATAAAAGTATCATATGAAGCCTTGAGAGCGGTTTCAACACTATAATGATAATAATAAAAACTCTTAAAAGGTTCAGTCAAATGCGAATTTCACGATATGTCGATTTCACTGAATAGCAGTGTTGGGCACCGTCAAATTATAGAACCGAGCTATTTACAAAATGCTAGATTCTATATTTGGCCGGCAATGAATTCTTTGCAATTGGAATAGCCAATATCTGATCTCGAGACATTTTAAATTAAGGAAATCTAATCTTCTTCTGCCTTGCTCGGCTGATCAATGAAGAGATATAGTTAAGATCTAGATTGAAGATATCTAAACTTATATCTCTCTTCACAGATTTCATTACAGATATTACATTATGCTATATTATGGAATCGATTAGCAACGATTATACATGTGAGATGTATGTATATTATGCAAAAATTGTTTTTAAATTTAAATTTAGATCGTTGAAACGTGAGTGCTATTAATTTTTTACCGACTAAACGTATTGTCTGTTCCAATTGCTGGGTATCGATATAGTATATAAAGACTAAAAGATGCATATATCCGGATACAAGACATCTTGAAATGCATCGTGAAACAATCCTTATACGTTATCGGTATCTAAGCCTTTCTTCATCCTGTAATCGTACTCCGATTGATAACTTGGTGGATGATTGTGTTGGTGCACCCCTGTCGGCATGAACGTCTCGGCGATCACCGAGCACTTGCCGCGGCAACCGCGATGCTGCATCGCGCAACGATAGTGCGAGCTGTTGTTCGCTTTGGTACGAGAGGTCATGTTGTACACGTATCCTTCGTGAACCAGTTGCGGCTTACCTCTGGCGGACAGTCGGTAGATTACTGGCTCCACAGCTGCAAGTTTCCATCAATTTTCTTTTTATTAAGATTCGTTTCGCGAGAGCAACGATCAAGTGATTGATTCAATACAATATCACACAACCAGCAAATTAATATCTAACGAATAACGCAACAAAATACCATATACCTGATTGTAGTAACGAATTTCTTTCCAAATTTTGTTCATTAGACAACTCAATTATTTCTTCACTATTATTAATAGCCTCAGTGGTCTCGTTATGTCTGATATCCTTTTCACTGTTAGAATCATTCGTATCTCTTTCATTGGTATCTGATAAGAGACAGATATCGTCGTCTTTGTCGACATTTGATTCATTCCTTAATTTCTTGACCGAGTCGTAATCATCCTCGGCCATGCGTTTCTTTCTCGTTCTAGTGTTCCTCTTGGCTATCCTGTGAGAGTGCGCGGACTTGTCCGAAACTTTGCTCACGCTTCCTTGCTCGCTCGGACCGTCGGACAAGGCAGTTATATCCTTAGAATCGTGCGGATGTGATATATTGACGTAATCATTTAACATTGGTATGATTTGTTCCTCGCAACCCACTAATCCGCTTATCTGCAGCATCTTCGCCACCTTCAGTAAAGTAGGCAGGTCGTCCTGTTTCACGTTCACCTCTCCTTGATACATGAACTTCAGCAGAGATGTTATCTCCTCGTACTTTACATCTTTCAGTATTATCACCGGATGTTGGCAGGGATTCTCCTGCAAAGCAAGTTGAGCTGTTACCTAAATACAATTTTATTTACGGAACAGTCATAATAATACAACGACAGCGAGTCATACCTTGAATATGTTCTTAAAATAAGGACTGCACACAGAGAGAACCAGCTTATGGGCAGCCAACAAACGTCCCTCGACGGCGATTGTTACGTCGACCAGATCATTCTCGCTCAAGTGAGAAAAAAAGCCAGAAGTCAAGTTGCTGGAAAAGTTGTTCCACCTCAAGGAGACTTCACTCGACGAAAATATCGTGGCCATATTTCTCTGCATCCAAATAAGTAACCTTTAATAATCTCGGCTTTTTAATTCAAAGGATCTCTTGATGATTTAATGAAAAATTGCAAATATACAATATTTGTAGCTTTCACGGGGTGTGTACACCTTGAATTTAATTTTTGGGTTAGAGCCACGTGTCGGAATGAGTATCAAATTGCTTCTCTCTGACGAACTGAAATGTTCATCGGGAACCATACAAACTCAAAGTGCAAATATAAAAAAAAATGCAACAATATATAAGCTGTATTAAAAATAAAATATTAATTAAGTTTAAAGTTTCTCAACGTGTGTTTATAAAGGCGATCAACTTAATAATATGTTAATAATAATAATACATATTATAAATACATTAATTAATATAACATTCTTATAATAAATATAAGTCAAAGCTCAGAGGATTAATTCTTGAAAATGACGATAAAAAAATAATATATACTATTTTCTCTATCTCGACTTGGTTATTATTTCACTAATATATTAATTCGTGTATATTTTAAAGTAATTGTCGTTTCGAACGTCAGAAACTGTTCAAATGAATATATCTCAATTATTTAGGGAAAACGCGATGGCGATTTTTATCGTCGGATGCGGACAACAAAATTCACTACCTGTCTATTAAAACGTGGACTTCGTAAGCGAGGACGCACCTATTTCACGGTAACTGTCAAACATTTCTGTCACGGAAGAGGAAGCAGAGAGAAACCTGAGAGAGGCCATCAGAGGCCATCCCGGCCTTTTTCGTGTGTTGCATTTTCCGACGCGCCGCCTGAGAAAGTGCAATTCAGCTACGTCGTTTCGCTCGGTAACCGCACATGGTTATGGTTTGCGTCCGTGCCAATGGTTCGTGTCCGAACTAGCCAGCTGGAGGGGATATTCTAGGGATCCTCTCTGGAGGATCCCTAGGATATTCTGGTCGCGGCCCGGGAGTTGCATCTGATTGCACCTGTTGATGATATTTTTACCTACATCGAGACGAGATCATTACATATACACATAACACATGTATTACACATACATATACATATATATATATATGTGTATGTATATGTGATGTAGAGTAAATTAAGATGACGATGTAAATAAAACTATTTTATTATTTAAATTTGTGCATATGTATATAAAGAATATACCAAGGAATAATTCTATAAAATTGATTTATAAATGTCAGCCAGAGAATGAGAAGGAGACAAACTCCTTCAATGCCGGCTGATTAACAGCGCCAGCAGACAATTATAACGTTACGGTCGATTACGAATCACTACGATCGTTAATAAGAGCGCGTTAATATAGAAAAAAAATAAACAACCACGTTCGTTAATAGAATCTTAATTAAATTTAACTTAATAATTTTGCTTTTAATTTCTCAGTGATACGCGTAATTAATTTATTCGTCCAAGAATTATACAGCAATTATACAGATAGAAAACAGAATTAATCATCAAGAATTTTATGTTAATCGCGTTTTAACAATTGTCGCGATTATATCTCGCAATCAGCAAATTCTGGACTTCGATAGTATAATGTAGAAACTCGAAACAACAGAAGTTTAAAAACCCATCGATGACTCGATTAATCAATTATTTATTAATGAATAGGCAAACAATATTTAGTAGTTATAAACCGAATCGCGAACCGAATCACGAATCTTACTTTAGATATTCAATGAGATATTCAGACTGAAAATGACGTGAGATCCAAAGTGAACGTGTGATTTCTTTACATAATTAGTATCGCAATCAATATATTGAATATATCAAATTCTCACGCATGTAATATTTGTCTTTACAAATTTTTATATATATAGATACATATCTATTTAAATATTTCGTATAATGCAAATTGTTATCAAAATTAATACGACATATCAGAAATTTAATACGACATATCAGAAATACGTATCGGGAGAATACATATCAGAAGTTACGTTCTCGTTTCAGTGCGCACTTGATAATATTCATATATAGTATTACTGATAGCAGTGTGACACATGTCACTAGTTTTAAACGTTTTATGAAAGCATAAATTTTAAGAATTTTATTAAAAAATATTATTCAGAATTGTTATCTTTCAGTATTGCTCCACATAAATGTAGTGGGGAGCATACTATGGTAAGATAATAATAAGTTCTCTTTTAAAGCTAGGGGAAACCGGGACTAAAAGTCACACGGGTAACTTGTCACAAAGTTTATATCACTTAATAGATTGAGTGGAATATATTCTTCATAGTGTACGTTGCTCTTATCGTGTTAGTCGGGTGTACAAAATAGCTCGCTTCAAAAACATCGCATGTGATATTTACGAGCACTTTTTAAAAATTGGAGGTCGTGAGTAAATTTTTCTTGCCTCTATTTTTATTGTACGTAATTGATACGTACTTGATAGATAAGAAAAACTTCGTACCAATAATTAATTATTTCATTTATTTTGGGGAAACAAATAAGATCTGCTTTTTAGCTAAACTAGTGTATACACTACTCTGTACTCAAGTACAATAGGTATATGATGGTATTGATATTTGGCAAAGGAAGAAGAGAAGTTTTAGTGCAGTCTAGTGCAGCAAAAGAAAAAAACTATTTGCGGAATGGATTATTTGCTATATCAAATATACACTTTTGAAAATAAGCGCATTGCAATATTGCTCAAAATTTAATTGCAATAAATATTTCGTGCGTACAAATCATTATATCATTATTAATAAAGAAATATGTGAACTTTATACGAATAAAAAAATAGAACAATTATACAAATAAGAACGAATATTTTATTGAATTATCATCGATGATAATTAAGTTTACTATGCTCTGCTTATTATTGACAGTAAAATGAAGCCGATTGCTGAAACGATATTTTGGATAAGCTTTTTATACATCGCGGCACCAGTAAAAACTGCAAGGATCTTGGTGATTGTTCCAATACCATCCTACAGTCACCAAATTTGTTATCAATCATTATGGATCGCTTTGAGCCAAAGAGGACACGAAGTCGTCCTTATAACAACAGATCCGATCAATGATCCTAGTTTAACCAATTTGACAGAAATCAACCTCCAATCTAACTACCACATAATAAAATTAAATTTTGCCAAAAACGTTATAGCGGGGACTCATGCGTGGTTAAGTACATCACGCACACTACTATGGCCTATGAGTGGAGATATAGCAGAAAACACTTTTAAGCATCCAAAAGTACGTAAGATGTATGCACCGGATAGTGATGAAAAATTCGACTTAGTAATTGTAGAAACTGTAAAAATACCTAGCTTCTATGCCTTGGCGCATAGATTTAATGCACCTCTCATAGGTAAGAATAATGATATATATGAAATTATTTTACAAATGTTTTATTTAAAATTCATTTTATATTAGCGAAAACATTGAAGAAAGCCATAAATTATTTCAACTTAAAAATTTTTAATATCCTGTATCTTCGTACACTTATTAAACCCCATATTATTTAACTTATTTACTTTACTTATTTATATTCTATTTAAATAAGTTTTATGTCCATAAAATTAGTTTAAAAATATAATGTCATTATCCACATGGTTTAATGTCAAGATATTTCTTATTCTCTGTCCATCATCATTATATAATCCAAAGAAACATAAAAGTTATATAAAATATAAACCTGAAAATTAGCCTGATTATTTTTCATGTATTTTGACATGTGCGTATATGTTTGTAATGATATTATTTACACAATTTTCTAAACTCAAATCTTGTTTAAATTAGTCACGTTTACACAACTTATTCTATAATTTATTTACAGGTGTGTCATCATTTGGATTGCGTAATACACTTTATTATCTACTCGGTGCACCTGTTCTGTCATCACATCCTTCGAATTGGGAAATGGAAGATGACACCGGTTTAAATCTGTCATTGTGGCGGAGGATAAAAAATTTTATTCGTCAGTGGTATCACATATATTGCTCAATAAATTATTTTTACCCTAAACAACAAGCGATAGCAGAAAAATATCTCGGAAAAAATAATATACCAGACATAAGAGATATGGAAAGAAACATGAGTCTTGTTTTCCACAGTCAACAAGAAACTCTCTCGTTTGTTAGACCGACAATGCCTAATATTTTAGTATTTGGAAATTTTCATATTTTAAAAAAACCCGCGGCTTTACCGAAGGTAATCATTGCTTTCAAACGTTTCAAACTATGTACATTCTTAAAAATTTGTTGTTTAAAAAATTATACATTTTATTTGCTTTATATTTAAAATCAATTTCCATACGCACAATATATTTTTTCTTCTCAAATGTATGTATATAAATCAGATAATTATTTTGTTTCAGGACTTGAAAGAATTTATAGCAGATGCACCGAATGGATTTATCTATATGAGTCTAGGCACAAATGTCATGACATCAATATTTCCGGAGCATGTGCGAAATGCATTTCGAGATGTATTTGCAAGCTTGCCATACAAAGTTGTATGGAAATATGACAGCGAATTGTCAAATAAAACTGACAATATCTATACCGCTAAATGGGTTCCTCAACAGAGCATTCTCGGTAAATTTATAGTGCCATAATTTAATCAGATTAATAAAAATATATGTTTATACGTATCTCTTCGTTATAGCCATTTCGCTCCGTCTTTCATTTTGCAGCTCATCCAAACATTAAATTATTCATATATCAAGGTGGACTTCAAAGTACAGAAGAAGCCGTTTATTATACAGTACCACTTTTAGGATTACCAATAGTAGGTGATCAGTACATTCAAGTTAACAAAATGGTATCTTTAGGAGTTGCAAAACGTTTAAATATTCTGGATATATCAAGAGAAAATTTGAACGCATCCATAATAGATATATTGACCGATAAAAGGTAATCATTTTTTTTACATAAGCATTCTCTTGTGTTATATGTCACTATAATTATTTTTGTAGAAATCTATTTTAGAGAAATGTCTAATTTTATACGCAACATTATATCTTACACATACAAAATTCTCATATAATTATAATCAAAATGCAATTGTAAAGTAATGCATTTTCTTTCATATATGATATATACTACTTTTCTTCATGATCTTTTTAATAGAAAATTATTAATTTTCTCTAGATATAAAAAAAGAATGCTCGAAGTTAAAGCACTAAATGAAGATAAACCTTATGATCCTTTGGAGCATGTAATTTGGTGGATTGAATTCGTCATTCGTCATAAAAGTGCTCCTCATCTTCGTAGCAGTATCGCTCATGAACCTTGGTATCAAAAATACGAAATGGACGTTATAGCGATTTTATCAATTGCCATATTTGTAACGTTATTTTGTACACTAATAATTATTTATAAATCGTTAAAAATAATATTTAATCTTATGGAAATATCAGTAGTTACTAAGAAAAAGATTATTTAACTTTTAATATGCATAGC